GAGCGTCAGTCAGACTGACAGGCCACACACAGGATGATGGGAAAACAACCTCACACACACTCAGGCTGTGTTGAACAGTATCAATGTTCTGTTTAAACTGATTCTTATTTTAAGAACTGATATTGATTCTTAAATGTTTTATTCTGTGCTTTTTTCAGTTGAGGTGTGAACAAAACTTCACTAAACATTTTTTGTGTTGGACCTGCCATTCAGTAATCTTAAAGTCCCCCTGTAGTCAAAAATTGTATCCCTTAAAACTCGTCTGTGATCATCAAAATTACATATTTAAATGTTTTTTCTTGTGAAAATAATTTTCTCATGCCTTAAAAGAGCTTGAATGTAACTCTACACCCTTGCCTAATTTACTATACGCTGATCTATGAATATGCAAATTAGCCCCACCTCCACTCACTCACACCAGCCAGCGCCTCCTGATCCACGGATAATAACTGATAAAACTATGTTTTTACTAGCGGACAACTACAGTGGATACTGTAACAGTCGTTAAAGTTACTTATTTGACGATGTTGTGTCCTCAAATGCAGCCAAGTTTGTGATTCTCAATTCGCGCCCGTGAGCAATGCGTGTGAAGAGCGGACGCTGATGCGGGAGAGGTGGGTCTGACTCCGGGCTACTTTTACACTGTTGCCGCGGGTTATTATTCAAGTTAGCGGTTCTAAATTCATGTTAAACCACAGCTTCATGGGTTTTTGCTCTATTTTATTTTTGGTTTTGTGCTGGTAATCCTATTGGTATATTTTGCATGCGATCTCTATGCGCGCTGCGTTTGTATAAATGGAGAGAGGCATATGCTAATGATAGGAATAGGAATCTATCCCTTGACGTGATTGGTTATTGAATTTTGTGACGTAGCACACCGAGGGCTGTTTCAAACCACGTTTCTGGGACTGCCTTTGGGAAACTACAGATTTAAGGAGAAAATACTCAGCAGTGGTGTTGATTAATGGATTGGCACATGGTTTGTCTAAAAGCTCATTAAAACATCACATAGACAGACACAGAGAGACAGACATATGGACAGACAGATGGACAGACAGACAGAAAGACAGATTGACAGACAGACAGAAAGACAGATGGACGGACAGACAGAGAGACAGACATATGGACAGAAAGATGGACAGAAAA